GACTTTGGTTGTGGGAAGCCAGCAGGAAATTGCCTTGCCTAACAACCGTGGGATTCAGTTAATGATGGCAACAAAGACTGCAGGGATTGCCATTGCTATGTGATTTGGTCGCGCTTTACAACCATATTGTTTAGCGACAGAAATCCTGCTCCCAATTGCTGTCATAAGTTGAGGATTACCTGTATTGGAACAATAATGGCCATGACTCTTCCCACAGTTATTGGGGATGTGTGGTATACTATTTTTAAAGGTAAACAGACCAAAACCAGTAGCCACCAGTGCATACTTGTCTTTGATAGATCCGGGTGAATAAAGTCATTCTCTGGTCCTTTCCTGGTCTCAGCTGCTCAATTATCTGTTTACAGATAGTACTTGCTTAACAACCACAGTTGTTAAGCTAGATATCATGTGACTGTGACTTGCAATCTTACTGCTGGCTTCTCCATTCACTCTGTCTGAAGCCAGCTGTGAAGCACGCAAATGGCGATCAAGTGACAGTGGGACGTTGCAGTAGTCATAAGTGCGAGGAACTTGGTAATGAAATTGTAACACTGAATAACATTCATAAATCACCAGTTGGGTTAACAGTGAAAGAAGGAGACTGTTTTCATGTCCTCTTTGTGGGCTTTATGGCAGCATCTGGTTGTCCATGATTAGAAACAGAATGCCAGATGAAACATATTTTTTGCTGATCTGCCAGGACTCTCTTTTTGCTTTTCTTTTAGGCCTCAGAGTAAGAAAACAGCAATGGTGAATGTGGCAGGTGAACTGGCCAGGCTGACCACTATTCTTTATTTCCACCAGAAGACTTTCTTCTTCCTCTTCCTGAAGTGTTTTAGTTCTGCTGCTTGTGTCCCAGTGGTAGTGCAGGTATGTTTACTTGCTAGATGTGTGTATTAGTTAAAAATCCCAAATCCTTGGTTTCCAAATTAGAGCTATGTCTTCTCTTAGATTATTACAGAAAGTTGGTTGATGAACAATCACCATGACCTATTATCAGATGCATAGACTGAGATATATTGTATATATTTTTGAGGAAGTAGAAGTTGAGTTGGTCTGCTAGGTGCTTGGTGAAGAGTGTATGTTTTGAATCATGATGACGATGATTCTGCTAATCATATTTCACAGCCAGTGTGGGTTGGTTTTCTTTTTCATGATTCAAGCCCTATTCTTAGGCTTGGGAGTAGTAAAAGTAGCATCTAATTATACATAAGGTACCTAACAGTACTGCTTGTAGATCTATTTTATTTTTATATTGTTCTTTCTCTTAAAGGAGCCCAAACAATATATAGGAAAAAAACCAATAAAGCAATCTTCAGTGAAAACTTGGAATAGGCCTTCATTGACATTGAAGTCACATGTACATTGGAATCAAGAAGAATTCCAAAGCTCTACAGCTGTTCTTTCATATGTGCTGAATTTTGACATTCTCCCTGATTTCTCTGTCCTAGAAGACTCCCCACTTGGTTTGGCATCATGCACTACAACTGGAGCACAAATATGTCCTAACTAACTTGAAGATATCTTGTCTCAAAAGTGCTGGACAGAGTGTTTTCAGAACTAGCTCTTCCTCATGTCTTCTACCTTACTGCACAGAGCAAACAGAGGAACACTTTTTGGATGTAACATTACAAGGAAGATCAACGGTATCTGTTTCTACTATGCCTCATATGCAGCCTAAGAGTTTATTGAAAGTGCAGGAGGAAGAAATGATACTGGGTCATCTTAGAAAATCCAAACTCATCTCATATACAGTAAGTAAATTGTGTCACCTTTGCAAAGAAAATGTTGTTCTGAACCTACACTTGAAAATTTCTTCAGATATGACCCCTGTAAGCAGCAGAAACTATTTATAATGTAATCTTTCATTATTCACTTTTCAGGGCACTATCACCCAAGTGTTAAATGCCCAAGCTGGCCTCTATGAACTAGATAACAAATACACTCTTTGTCTTGCTTATCGGCAGATGTTGAATCCTGGCCATGGATTCCGACCAGGAGCGTGCATAGGGGTGAGTTGGCTTGGAGTAGTTTGCAGTTTCCATTAGAAATGCAATTTTAAAGAAAGTAGGCTGTTTGAAAAAAAGGTAAGAGGCTGGCATTGTCATTCTGATTTCCAGATGTAGTACAGTTATGAAAGAAGAGGTGTCTGATTTAAAAGAAAAAAATCCTTATTGGGGAAGGATGTATTCTGACATGGATTGTGTATTATGTTGCCCAGTTAGTTTCCTGACTGCCTATAAAGTCAAAATGGATCAACTACTGTGTGAAAATTGTTGGAAAGTTTTTAAAATCTTCAAATTTCCTTTATGCTTATGTGTCAGCTCCGAGATGTCCATCTTATGGAGGAGTCTTTAGCTACTTCCCCTGCTGTTCTTGGAGCTTGTCTGCGTACTACCATTGTGCTGAAGAGTTTTTCAGCATACAGTGTATTACATCAACCTGTAAATTGCTTTGGAAGTCATTATCAGCAACTACTCTTGCGTTGTAATCTAAGCCTATCACTCTATCTTTATCTGGTCAACTTGCTGGAAATATTTGAACAAAGGTGAGTATTGTTAAAACTGATGGCATATGATAGTATGAAATTGTATACTTTTTTTCAGGCAAACATTTAAGTGTTGGTGCTATTTTTCTACAATTTAAGTTTATTTTTCCTATAGTTTAAGGAAAAAAATGTGAATATGTGCAATCTGATGCATGTATTCAGGCAGGCCCATGTATGCACCTCTGCAGTTACAGGTTACACACAATCATATGCAAACCAAATCCCCTGGAACTGCGGCCAGAATGCAAGCCTCCACGTGCTCTGGACATGCAGTCACATCTATGGAACTCCCAACACTGCAAGTACAGGTCTAGGATACAAGGCAACAGTTTCCAGACAGACAGCTCTCTGAGTGAGTGAGTAGGACAGTAGCAGCAGATTTTTTGAGCGGATAGGTTGTACTTAGAGAGTCTGAAATCCTGGGAGGGAACCAGAAAAAATAAAATGTTTTCTACTGGTGGAGTGAGTATAAGAAAGAACAGAACAGAGGATGGACAGAGTTATGATGTGTAGAGTTTATGGTACTGTCTGAAAATAACCCAGCATATATTTCCAGCAAAGGCAAGCTTGAAAGAAGTAGGAATATTGGAACTCCCAATGGTTACACTTCAGTTCATAAAAGAGGAGAAAAATTTCTTAATCCAGACAAAGGAAGTGCTACAGTGGGCACTGATAGAGGAAGCAGCTTTCCACAGCATAGAGACCCAAACAGAGGAGCAAACTCAGTGGATGAAATTCATGGAAACAAAACATAAAGAAAATATGCTGCACTGATGGAACTGAGAAACAGCTTAGAGGACTTTGCTCTGAACCTACAGGGGAAAAAAAAGATTTACTGTTGGGCAGGAGAGCAGAGGGGATTCAGCTGCTCCCTGAAAAGCAAAAAGAGTCATGGTGGTTGGCAATGTAATGCTGTGAAGAACATAATTGAATTTGTGCCAAGTGGACCCATTGACTTCTGGAAATTTCTGAGATCTTCTGACAATTTGCTCCTTCAGAGGGTGGAGAAGATCAACTATCTTCAGGTTAACTTGAAATTAACAGTATTACTCTTCAAATTCTTTTAAGAGTTTTTATACTATATAAATTGAACAAACAAAAAAATAAATACAGAAAAAAGCAAAGATCTATTATCCTAGAATGTAGAACATAAAAAGTGGATTTCAATTATGTGGCAGCAGACTCCGATTGAATGTTAGGAAAACCCTCCTAATGGTAAGAGCAGTTTGGCAGTAAAACCAGTTTCCCAAAGGGGCTACCTTTTACTAGATGTGTCCAAGCAGAAAACCCTTATTTGTGGATGTTTTACTCTGGATTCTTCTGCTGAGGAGATGGTTGGATTTGAGAGCCTGCGTGGCCCCTTCCAATTCTGTGATCCAATTCAGACAATAGTCCAAGGCCCAGAATTTCCCTACATGTATGAGTAGGCCCAGGAAAGCATCATCCCCACATGTTGGTGTATAGCAATGTCTAAATTATAGGAAACCAGCTATCATACTCAGTGCAAATACAGTGGTACCTCAGGTCACGAACTTAATTCGTTCCACGACTCTGGTTGTGACCCGAATTGGTCGCGACCCGAATCAAATTTTCCCATAAGGTTC